TGCTCTAACCACTGAGCTACAGGACTCCCTAACGATGAGCATCAGCCGTGCCTTCGAATACTGTGGACTAAGAATTGGACTAGAGACCGACCCGGAGGGCAGACTCGATTCGGACATCCGTTGCCAAACATGTCAGCTTGGAGCCACTTCAAAAAAAAAATAGTCACAAGTTGATCTTTTAACATCCGACAAGCGCAGGTTTGAATCCTCAACTTGTCAAAATGTCTCAAAGTGCTTCAGACGATTTACTGTAATATGTAGTGACTGTGTATTTTGTTGGTGAACGCAACAGCAAATCTATACACAGCAACTTATATTTATATATTTCATGCGAGTAGCGACCTGGATCGCTTAATGTTAAAAATTCACCTGGCTGTTTGTGGGATCTTGCCGTACAAATACATGCGAAATATCTCTGAAGCTCTCTGAGCTGTTTTGAGGTTATAGGAACTAATATGCAATGCAAGGATTATTATTGATTATTCCTGGTCTGTTTGTTTTTTCATCTCCTGCAGATCTTATAACTAACCATAAGAACACCCATGGGAACATGCCTGCAGCCACAGCGGCAAGCTGCAGGCCCCCGGGACAGAGCGCCTGGGCTGCTGGCAATGCTCCATCCAGCTCCGTTGGCTCCCAGAGGCTCCCAGCACAACAGGCCTCTCAAGGCAGCAACGCCTGGAGGAGCAAGTACTCGCTGGTCAACAAGAGTGTTGGGATGGAGAGCAATGACCGACCGTCTACCAATCTCTCTCAGGGTCAGGAGATGCTCACTGCCAGGCCGCAGCTGAACAGTGCCGGCAAGTGTGCAGCGAAGGTGCTTGCCAAGCAGGGGCAGGGAGAAGCCAGCTCACACAGAGCTGGCAAGGCTCGCTTCCTACAGACCCTGAACTCAGAACTGGCTGTGAAGAAGGACAAACTGCTGGCCATGAAGGAGAAGCTGAATGAAGTGAAAATGGCCAGAAGGAGGGCGTGTGGGAAAGGGCTATCGCGGCACTGCTCGGGGAAGTCATCCCTCTCGGCCCAGCCCCCCAGCATGCCGGAGGCCGACAGGCTGGCAGCCGATTTAGAAAGCCAAGTGTCCGCCGAGTTGGTGAATAGGACAGAGTTGAGTGCTTCTGTCAAATACTGCACGCCCACTGTCCGTGACCCTGGTGAGGCTCAGACTGTGGCTGTGCCAAGCCACGCTGTGAAAGAAACCTGTAGGGGCAGAGCACAGAGGAGCCACGTCACGGGCAGGCTTTCCCACACTCCGGGGACAGGCAAGCGTACCAACACATCACACTCCACTGGCCACATGCCAACCGCTTCCTCCACAGGTAAAGAGTCCAGATATACGTGGCAGAAGGCGTCAGATGGTGGGGGGCTTTCTAATCGTCGTGGTTCTCAGGAAACCTCAGAGCCAAGCCCACCTGCTACCCCAGGCCCAGCCTTACCTAGTACCTCACGCATGCCCTGTGCTGGCACAGGCCCTCTGACACCGAAAACCTCCTCGGCCCTTAAATCACTTAAAAAACAAAGGACGACCACGCCGGTTTGTAGCCGAGCCAGCAAGGGCCGAAAGGCAAAGTATGTTTGGGTTTCAAACTCTGCCCGATCAGGCCAGGCCAACCGTAAATCAGTCACTGCCAAAGCAGCTAAAAGCCCAAAATGTGTGGTTGTGGGAGGCAACGCTGTCACACATCCAAGCCCAGAGTGCAGATCAGTGGGAAGACATAAGAAGGCTGGGTGTCCTCACAAGAAAGGAGTCACAGCAAACAAATACCGCTGGAAAGCTGTGGAGATGAATGAGCCCGCCTCGCCAACAAAGTCTGCATATCGCTGGAAGTCTGAACTCTCGAGCACGCAGATGTCGGGGAGACGGACAAGTCCAGCAGCTGTGAGGAAGGTTGAAAGCAGCGCTGACTGTGTGAGGAAGGCTGTGTGGGGGGCAGCAACTTCCCACTATAGACTGAAGAGCAAGACCAAAATTATCCGCAGGAAGGCAGCACTGAGGTAGGTCTGAACACAACGACAGCTTGTGTTTGCATAGTGTCCTTCACCCAGGTTAGTGTCCTGGAGTGCTTGACTAATGGCAGAGTCCGAGGTCAAGCCAAGGGGAAGGTGACCGTAAGCACGATCAAAAAAGATCTTTAGAGGGATTTGAAAGTGGGAAGGGAGTTGAGGGAGCACGGCAGAGGGAATGAGGGGCTAGAGTTTCGGGGAGCAGTGGCTGAAGGCATGGCCACCAATGGTGGAGAGGAGGTGACGAGGGACAAACAGGAGGCCGGAGATGTGTGTGGTGGAGTGGGAGGGTAAGCAGATCGGATAGTTAGGGAGGTCATAATAATAATCCTTGCATTTGATATAGCGCTTTTCACGTCTTCTAGACGTCTCAAAACGCTTCACAGAATAGACTAAAGTAAATTGACCGTATATTTGTGGGCAAAATACAGCAGCCAATTGCGCACAGCAGTGTCCCCACAAAGAGTCATGGATTGAAATGACCAATTTATTATTGGTTTTTTTTGAGGGATTATTATCAGGCGTGTGGAGTTAGGAAACTTGCCCAAGGTTTCACCCTGCCGGGAATCGAAACCCAGGTCTCTCGCTTGCAAAGTGAGTGCTCTAACCACTGAGTTACAGGACTCCACAAAGGGATTTGAAGCTCATAGTTACAGTCTCCTTGTCGGTGGCTACAACAAGACTTATACTGCACATTCTCACAGCAGTCACGGCTGGAGAGCAGCACGGGAGGAGAGGAAAGAGAATGTAGTGGTGTTGAGCAAAGGCATGGGCAAAGAGAGGTTTTGAAGGCAAAGAAAGAAGGGCAAAGCAAAGCGAATTGGGGAGAGAGTTTGGGACCCAGTGGCTGAAGCTTTGATAAGGTGATTTTACCAATGATGATCATTGAATTTGATTAGTGCTTATCACCTTGTTGAGATGTCTCAAAGCGTTTCAAGATTTTACTGTAAAGTGTAGCAACTGTGTTTTGTAGGCAAACATAGCAGCCAATTTGCAGTGTCTCACAGTCGATTTTACTGATTTTTACCTGGGGGTGAGCAAGGTGGGAGGTGGTTAGTGTGGAGGGGAGGAGGACGAGGGGAGGGGGGGATCATGGAAGGGAAGGGTTGGGAGGGGGTGAACGGGGAGGGGAGAGGGATTGAGGCCAGGAGGCTAAGATTCCTATAAAAGAGTTGGTTGTTGTGCTGGGAGGATAGCAGGAGGTACAGCGCTCTGAGAGGCTGAGATGAGATGGGCTTAAGGTCCTGGTTTGTGAGTACATTGTTGATGTTGGTGCCTTTGGTTTGAAGCTCGCCGACTGAGAGGAAGCTCAGCTTGACTAACCAGGTCATCTCCAAAAGCCGCTACCTGCTCGTCAAGAGGACTTACAACAGCCACGGGCGGTGGCCACTGATTGTGAGGACGCCTGGGAAGGGCCTGGTGCAGATCAGCAAGCACAGGCTGCGGAGGCTGCCCGCCTCAGCGCCACACACCAATGCCAAGCAAGGTAGGCCTCCTTCATCTGCCCTGCGACTACTCAAGTGGTTCTGAGTTTAGATCTGTAGGCCTTATCCTTTGAACTCCACAAGCAACAACGGTAACAAATGACATGTATATAGCACCTTTCACGTAGGGAGGATGTCCCAAGGTGCTGGACGGTCAGAGATTTGGAGCCGAGCAGGGGTTAGGATCAGGGTGGGTGGAGGGCAGGGAGAGTAAGGGTAGGAGGATGACCGAAAGCGCGCTCAAAGAGGAGGGTCTTGAGATAGACCTTCAAGGAGACCAGGGAGCAAGGCGAAGTGACTGGGATGGAGTTCCAAAGGGTGGGGACGGAGAGACTGAAGGCCTGACCGCTGATGGTGCGGCGGGCCGGGCGGGGGACGAGGAGCCTGCTGAGTGGAGGGATCAGACAGGTTGATTTGATGTTAGCAGGTCACAGAGATGGGAAAGAGCATGGTGGTGGAGCGCCTTGAAGGCGAGGACGAGAATTTTGAACTCAACAGTTTAGCGTGACATCAAGGGAGTGCTGCATCGTTGGACATGTCGTCCTTCAGATACGATGTTAACTGAGGCCCTGTCTGCCTGTTCAGGTGAATGTCAAAGATCTCATGGCACTGCTGGAAAAGAGAAGGGAGTCTCTCTCTCCTGGTGTCGTGGACAACGATCCCCCAAAATGTTTGCCTGCAGTCACTACATTTTATAGTGAAGCACTTTGAGATGTCCTCCTGGATCAAAGCAAGGATTATTATTTTATAACTGAGGCAGTGGCTGGTCAGTGTTTCTGTATTCACTTTGAAAATCTCAGAAAGAAGGCATCTCATACCCTCCCTCTCCCCCACCTCCATTCTCCCTCTCAGACCCTCCTCTCCCATACCCTCATTCTCTCTCTCTCTCACTCTCTCTCTCACACCCTTGCTCTCCTCCATCTCCAGTCTCCCTTTGACACCCTCCCTCTCCCACACCTTCATTCTTCCTCTCACAACCTCCTCTCCCCACCTCTGTTCTCCCTCTCACACCATCCCTCTCCCCACCTCCATTCTCCCTTTCATGTCCTCCCTCTCCCCACCTCCATTTTCCCTCTCACACTCTCCTCTCCCTCTGCCCTCTCCTCCATTCTTCCTCTCACACTCTCCCTCTGCCCTCTCTTCCATTCTCACACTCTCCCTCTGCCCTCTCTTCCATTCTCACATTCTCCCTCTGCCCTCTCCCCCATTCTCCCTCTCACACTCTCCTCTCCCTCTGCCCCCTCCTCCATTCTCCCTCTCATTCTCTCCTCTCCCTCTGGCCTCTCCTCCATTCTCCCTCTGACACCCTCCCCTCTCCACACCTCCATTCTCCCTCTCACACCCTCCACTTCTCAAACCTAGGCCCCCTGCATGCCTCACACCATTTTGACACCTAACCCAAACTCTGTGGCACTCTTTTTCTCTCTCTCTCTGAATAGCTGTGCCTTGCACCCTCCTTCCCTCACTTCGATCATGCCATCAGGTACCATCCTCAACCCGCCTCTCTCTTCCTAGCTTCGCATCAGAAATCCACACTGTAAAGGCTTTGACGTTATCCTGTGTAAAAGACTCCATGTTGTACAGGGGTTATTAAGGTGATGGCGTTTTTTTAAAACACAAGTGCCTTCTGCTGGAATAATCTGTTAATTTGAAATTTCTTCGCAGTACCTCCAGTCGTAGTTGAGGAAATGGAGGGTGTGGGTGCAGGCGTGTTGTACACTGTTTTAAGTGATCGATTTCAAGATCCGCTTACTCGTTTTCAAATGCCTTCATGCCCTGGGACCTCGCTACCTATCCAATCTGTTCACCCCCCCTCCACCACCCGCTGCCTGTGCTCGGCTGGCTCCGGCCTCCTGTTTGTCCCTCGTCCCCTGCTCCACCATCGATGGCTGTGCCTTCAGCCAGTACGCTTTGGAACTCTCTCCATCAATCCTTACGCCCTACCTCCCTACTTTCAAATCCTGCCTAAAGACCTTTCTGATGGTGCTTACAGTCACCTCGCCCCTCCCTCTCCCCCTGGCTCAGTGTCAGACTACACCACTGTCAAGCGCTCTGTGACGCTACCCCACGTGAAGGGCACAATATAAATGCAGGTTGTTGTTGTTGATGTCCTTTGCTGATAAGAGAACGAGTCGTGATTAGGAGGAAGTGCCAGGAAGCTGCAGTAACAGACTGCTCTAGCAGAGGGCAACATTGCCCCTCTTTGTGTGGCGGTTTCTCTCCCGGCTGGTAATTGATTGGCCAATTTTCTTTTGATGTGAAAGGAGACAGATACCAAGTAATTTGCAGCAATAACGTGCTGGCACTCTGAAGTGGGGGGGTGGGGGGGGGGGCTTGCTCCACCCCTGTTTTCATTTCCAATCGCAGATAAAAGGCTAATATATAATTATCCTCGCAAATTGGATTGCTTTAAATAAGGAGAAGTGTGTGAGTGCGGAGGGCCACAGCCATTTCCCTGAGTTACCGCCTGCTGTAATTGCGGTGCTTAATCAATTAGAAACTCCTTCACAATCCACATCAAACCTCATCCTTTTCCATAACTAAACGCCAGCCATTGCTCCATTCCTTCCTCGCTCTCTCTTGCTCTCTCTCTCACTCTCTCTCTATGAAAAAAAAGTTGAATTACTCCGAATGGATTTGAACGTTTGCTGACATAAAGAGGTCATAGCCGCCAGTGTATTGCCTGCAGATAGTGGTTAATGAAAAGGAAATTCAATTACTAATAACCACTACAGAGTATTAAACAAGCTAAATCGACTATTTTGCGGCATTAATGGAGTGGGTTGCACCGCACTGGCCCTTTGTACTGATCTGGGTGACGTCTTGGCCAGGAGAATGTCGATCAGGAAACCTGTGGCTGGGGTTGGGTTTGTCCTGTCACTCTCTCTTTATTGCCTCCTCCGTAGCTCTCGCCACTCAAAAAAGGCGTGCCATGCCCGCCTGACTGCCAGATAACTGCCTGGCATAGCATTGCTAGCTGACCAAGCTCGCTTTAGTGATGTCAGGCTAATCCTTGCATTTGATATATCACATCGATATAGCCTTATCATGCCATCAAAGGCCTTCACGGGATTTTACTATAAAGTGTAGTGACTGACTAGTTGCAGGGGGACAGGCATGATGTAAGTGGTTTATCTGGGGGTTTATTGGTCAATAGTGCCATGGAATTTTAAGTGTCCACCTGAAGGGGCCCTTGGTTTAATGGTCTTATTCGGAGGACGGTATCCCCAACAATACAGCGAGCCCCAAAACTGCTTTGGATAGTCAACCTAGTCCGTGAGACCCAACATTTGGTTTGAACCCACAACATTTTGACTAAGAGGTGAGAGTGTTCCTGACTGAGCCAGCCTAAAACCTGGGTATCTCAGAATGCGTCACAGGATTTACTGTAAAGTGTAGGCTCAGTGGGAGTGCTTTCACTCCCTTGCACAACCTATGAGACTGTTGTGGATGGAAACATTCAGGGTTGGAGCTGCCAGTCTGGGCTGTGACCCTCTGTGAAGTAGAGGGGGAGCATTAAACAGTTCCTATCTAGGTGTGTGCTGAACATCCCTTCACGCTATGGGACAAGAAGAAAGTTTCTCCCAGGATCCTGGTCAACAATCCTGCAGAGAAATTGATCATTCCCTTCCTGTGGGTCCTTACCCTGTGAAAAAATATCTCACATTTGCCTACAAAAAAATCACTAGGCATAACTAATTATTGTAAAGTGCTTTGAGATATTTTAATAATAATAATCTTTGCATTTAATATAGTGCCTTAACAGGTTTTCGAGACGTCTCAAAGTGCTTCACAGAATATAGTATAAAGTGAATTGACTGTATATATTGTGGGCGAGGGGGTAGGATCCCGAGCCACAGAGCGAGTGCGAGCACGAGGCTGTTACAGGGCGAGTGCGAGCACGAGGCTGTTACAGGGCGAGCACGAGGCTGTTACAGAGCGAGCACGAGGCTGTTACAGGGTGAGCGCGAGCACGAGGCTGTTTCAGGGCGAGCGCGAGCACGAGGCTGTTTCAGGGCGAGTGCGAGCACGAGGCTGTTACAGGGCGAGCACGAGGCTGTTACAGGGTGAGCGCGAGCACGAGGCTGTTACAGGGCGAGCGCGAGCACGAGGCTGTTTCAGGGCGAGTGCGAGCACGAGGCTGTTACAGGGCGAGCACGAGGCTGTTACAGGGCGAGCGCGAGCACGAGGCTGTTACAGGGTGAGCGCGAGCACGAGGCTGTTACAGGGCGAGCGCGAGCACGAGGCTGTTTCAGGGCGAGTGCGAGCACGAGGCTGCTACAGGGCGAGCACGAGGCTGTTACAGGGCGAGCGCGAGCACGAGGCTGTTACAGGGCGAGCGCGAGCACGAGGCTGTTACAGGGCGAGCGCGAGCACGAGGCTGTTATAAGCGCCGCTCAGGCCATCGATAGCTTTATCCCACTCTGCTCGCCTTGGTTTCTGCCAATTACAGAACTGTGTTTGGGGCAGCGCTATTGATATATTCAAACAAATTGGTCCCTTTCCCTCCGCCTAAGGAGGGAAACAGGGAGCATCCTTGGTATTTCCCCTCTCCCCAGTATTGAGCTGCACATCTGCCTCACCCCAGGAGGAGAAACCTTTCCCAGCCTCTCGAGCTCTGCACTATTGCTGGCTGCAGTGTGAGGGAGAGTGCTGCATCAGCATTGTTTCAATCTGACCAGGAAAGCAGACGGGAGAATATATTCCTTGCCTGGCTTACACAGAGTGCAGGATTGGTACATTATACGTAGTATATATATTATACAGGGATGAGGGACTTATTTATGTGGAGAGTCTAGAGAAGCTGGGATTGTTCTCCTTAGAGCAGAGAAGGTTATGGGGAGATTTAATAGAGGTGTTCAAAATTATGAAGGGTTTTGATAGAGTAGATAGTGAGAAACTGTTTCCACTGGTAGGTGGGTTGTTAACCAGAGGACATAGATTTAAGATAATTGGCAAAAGAACCAAAGAGGAGACAAGGAGACTTTTTTTTTTACACAGA